TTTGATATTACCAGCTGCAGTTGGTACAGGCCTGAAATCAATATGTGTTTGTTCAGACTAAATTAAAATTACGCAGCGTCATATTTATACTGAATAGAGTATCCGGACAACCGATATAACATAAACAGAAAGTAAACTAAATAAAAATATCAGTCGTATATATCTGATAAACACTCATCAACGATATCAGGCTTACAATTAGATGAACTAGATAATGGAACATGGTCCACATAGGATTTTCTACCTTTCACAAGAAGAAAAAAAGTAAAACAAAAATATCGCACTCCAATGCAAATTCAAAAAGGGGAAGTCCATAAAAACTAACAAAATCAAAAGTTATCAATCAACGTGAAACAACTACCATATTCCTGACTTGGTACACACATTTTCTGACGAAAATGGTAGGTTAAACCTGGTTTTATAGCTAGCTCAACCTCCCATTTTACAACATTGGGCAAGCAACCCAAACAGACATAATAGGTTAATGTGACAATGATTGGAATACAACAGCCAAAACTGTGTAAACATACATCATAAACATACAACACAAATGACTAAAAAATTCAAACAAACATACAAATTAATAAAACAAAGACGCCATCAAAAAGGTGTAGTAGATAGTAATAAACTAATCATAGATGCCAGGATCAAAATTTTGTACGCCAGACGCGCTTTTCGTCTTAAAAACACTCATCAGTGACGTAAATTTGAGAATTACGTTAACGAAAGAAAGGTTGTTGTCGTTGGTAATACATACCGTATATACAACACCATAAAACCCTTTTGTCTCCAAATCGTACCGCAGGACCCATCTGCAATAGGAATGCTGGAAGTAGCAACTTCATGTTTTTATTTGTACTGTTCAATCACAATGACAAAATATCTGCTTCTACTAAGTATGTAATATCAAAGCACCATTCCCAACCATATCAAATCAGATACTTGAATAGGGAGTATCAAACAAGAATCTTGTGCAGTACTGCATGAAACCGTATACAATTTTTTTTAACACATGGTAGCATACGCTATAAATTTATTACTTTGGGATACCATAAGGCATATTTTGTTAATAGTGAACAAAAAGGTAAAAATGCTACACAGAGAAACAAGTTATCAATACGTCTGAGTTTCTTACTAACAACATATTTGTTGAATTTTGAGGTAGACTTTTTCAACAAATTGTCAGCATTCCTATGGGAACGAACTGTGCGCCTCTCCTTGCCGACCTTTTCTTATTTTCATATGAGTCGGAGTTCCTTCAGACACTTGTCAAAAACAAGAAGATCAAAGAAGCCAGATTATTTAATTTCTCATTCAGATATATTGATGATGTTATTTCCATTTACAATGCAACGTTTTCTGATTGGGTTCCATTAGTATATCCTCCAGAACTAGAAATTAAAGAAACAACAGATACGACTTCCTCCGCCTCATTTTTAGACTTACACCTCGAATTTGACACAAGCAGTCATCTTAGTACCAGAATCTATGACAAACGAGACGATTTTAATTTTGAAATTATCAATTTTCCCCACCTTAGTAGCAATATACCAACTTCACCAGCATATGGGATATCCATTTTCCAACGCATTCGGTATTCAAGAACTTGCAGCTGCTACCCAGACTGTATAAAACGCCACCAGTGTCTGAGCAGAAAGTTGATGAACCAGGGTAATGTCAAAGAACGTCTCGTCCTTTTTCCAAAAAAGGGCATCGGAAGATACCAAGACCACCTTGTTGATAAATATTCCGTAACAACTTCACAAATAATACGTGATGGTCTTGAAGTATAGATGCTAGGTACGGATGTTGTTTATAATTTTAATTACGTGTTAAAGTGTTCTTTTATTTGTCTATGTAAATTATTAATCTTTACTGTTTTTGGTAATATCCTTTTGGCGTGGATGGGTATTTATGCATCCCGCCAATGTTTTGTATTATTGTCTTTCGTTTTTGCTTATGTGCTTTGTCTATTTTGCTTTTCTTTGTTTACATATTTGTTTGTTTTTATAGTGATTAAGATTATAACACAATGTTGACTGGTTTTTTTAACATTTTTACCTATTATGTATATATAAGGTTTAGCTAGCTATAAAACCATTTTCTACATAAGAAAATGGCTGTACCAAGTCAGGAATATAACAGTTGTTTTCCATTTGTTTGATGTGTTTGAGCTTTTGACTTTGCCATTTAATAAGGGACTTTCCAATTTGAATTTTCCTTGGAGTTCGGTATTATTGTCATTTTACTTTTTAGACATTTTAAAAAACGCGAGTTGAATTATGTTTAATGGGGAAGAAACTGTTAAAGTAAATACAAACATATCGTCTGCTGGTTATATTAAAATTGCTGTTTGATGATCGCTCCTAGTATAAGTATGTTTAGAAGTAAGTGCAACTCCCTGTGTTAGTTTTATATTTGGACTGATGAAATATTAAAAGAACATCTGTATAATCATTTATGTTAACGAAGGAACAAATGTAGAGGAAACATTTTAATGTTACCAAACTGCAGTCCAGTAAGAAAAAAAAAATATTACAATGCATGTAAATGGAATCACATAAACATGATCAACTTTAAACAAAGTGAAAATATGTGTCAACGACCTCTTGTTCTGCAAGTATTCCCAATGTTTAATGAAAACATTAGATTAGTTTTATTGATATTAAAGAAATTTCTTGGTATTCCTAAACGGAAGATTTTATACACACAGAAGAAGAGGTATACTTAACAACAAAATTATTTTCATTTACCTGTGTATAATATGACGCAGGTTTCTTCAAAAGTGATGATTTTCTATAAATTGTTTGAAATTTCACAGTGTTATCATACTTTAACTGTGTTTAAACCTGTTTATTTACTTTTGACTTTAATTATTTATCCCTTGTAATTGTTTATTAACTTTGTATTTGCATTCAGGTGTCACAGGTCAAATTTATTCGTCCATTGTGTGTTAATTTACGTTTTTTGATTGAGTCAAGCCTTCCAATTGATATATTATGGTGTGTTTTTCTATGTTGTGATGTTATACTATTGTTTCAGAAAAGAGAGAAGGTTTGGTACCATTAAAACGTTTAATCCCGCTGCAAATTTTTGCACCTGTCCTAAGTCAGGAATCTGATTACAGTAGTTGTCGTCTGTTTATGTAGTTCATACGTGTTTCTCGTTTCTCGTTTTTATATAGATTAGACGTTGGTTTTTCCGTTTGAATGGTTTTACACTAGTAATTTTTTGGGGCCCTTTATAGCTTGCTGTTCGGTGTGAGCCAATGCTCCGTGTTGAAGGCCGTACCTTGACCTATATTGGTTTACTTTTTTAAATTGTAACTTGGATGGAGGGTTGTCTCATTGGCACTTATACCACATCTTCCTATATCTAATAACTGTTAGCAGTTAGGACAAATGCAGGAAGCATGACAAATGCTGGTAACTGTACCATATCGGCATATTGTACAAGTGCTGTATTTTACATAGTCACACAAATCTCACTAGTGAGTTGTAGTCTTGATTTATTGTAACAAATAAATTATTAAAGATGGTGACCATATACATTCTGAAGGGATTCTGGTCATTCTTTTACATAGATTTTCTGCATAAAGCTGTTGAAACATTCAAATCAAACTTGAATCTGTCAAAATGGCTTTTTAGTGTTTTTTTTTTTTGTTTGTTGTTGTCATGGACTGATATCCCATCAACTTTGTTTTTGTATTATTTTGAAAATGATAATTCATCAAGATGACAGATTTGAGGTCAAATACATTATAGTGTTGGCACATCTATCAACACTTGACATACCTCTATCAACTGTTATTATTTTCTAACAAACCTTTTTCTCTATTTGTATGAGAAAGACTTTACAAAGGAAGTCTAAAGAAAATTATATTATCGTTGATCCTTATACTTCACGTTCTGTGATATTGCTGTTGTCATTACGCTGTATACTAACATTTAATTTGACATATTTTTTCATATTAAACGTTTGTTAAGAAATACTTTCACATGTATAATTAGGTCTGATGCATCCCTAGACTTTCACTGAGAAATTATCAGGACAAGTCGGAAAGAAATGGAGAGCAAATTATAAGAACTTGAAAGCTTACATTGTAACCTTTCGATATTTATGTAAAGACTTTCAACCAATGTGTTATTTTTTTATTTTCCTTGATGACGTTATACATTACCCGTTAATGTGTGCGTGTGCATCGTTCCCTTGATAACGTTATGCATTACCCGTAATGTGTCCGAGTGTATATGGCGTGATAACATTATGCATTACCCGTTATTATGTCTTTTTGTAGACGCCGTTTTTCTTAACTGAGCCGCTGTGAATATGAACATTTATGAAAGACACAACAAAACTTACAGCATTAAAAATCCATATTAATGTATTAAGAGTTGATATGATAGGCTGCTAGCATGATGGTATACGAATACCACATATGACACTTCGTTGTTAAGTAGACTTTTAAAATACCAGACTGTCATTACTAATTATTATTGAACAAGTAACATAAATTAGCAGTGAAGAAGTAGTAGATGATACCAAAGGGACAGACAAACAACAAGACATTATACATTGCAAAATGACATTCATTGAGAACGACATACGACTGCTTTCTTTAGTTCGATAAATATGAGTGTTTTTGGGTTGCTGCTTCAGGTGGTTAAGATATGGAATATGGTAAAAGGGCAATAAATAATCATAAGTTGAGGAACAACCGAAACAACAATGACAGAAACATTGTTTAACTGTGCAACCTTATTATTTATTGTTTATTAATTATTATATATTCAGGGAGAATGTGTAATAAAATTTATATAAATTGTAAGATTACACATTTTAATATAATAAATAAATATAAGTGAACATAACTAAATACAACTTGACTCGTAAGATTTTATATCTTTTTAAAATCGGACAAAATAACAGAGCTACACCGTTACATTACGGTGATTATATGAAATCAATATATTTACTTTTCGTCACATGATACACATGTAACTGTGATTTGATTGTACCTTTCTGATTATTTAAAAGGTTTATTTTACAAACTGTACTGGAAGATAAGGTACGTGTATAAAATTATGTTACTTGCGAATCAAAAGTTATTTTTCTAGTGTTTTCAGACGATCATTTTTTGGCACCTCGTGTCTTTTTATAAACATGGATGTAGCAGGTGTTGCTGTGTTACATATGCACACTAAAATATGAATTACAACAAGTTTAAATATTTCAATGTTTCTAATAACATGTTGTCGGTTTCGATATTTTTTATCGTGATTTATCTTATGATTTCGTTTAATTCCCTTTTGAAAATTTTGAATATGTTTTCTTTTTGTTTGAAAAAAAATATGCCTTATAAATAGAAAAGAATATAAAAGTTATTAGAATGTTTATGTCAAAATATGTTTGATATATCAGATATCTTATAGCCGTGTTGAACAAGGTGACAGTAGTTTACCGATTTTTAAAACCCCTAAATCGATTAAAAAGGGACAAATCAAAGTGACAAACAAAACTTGAGAGATTGCATGAATTTCACAAAGAGATAACATGGTGTGTGGACAGGGTGCGTGTACAGGGTACGTGTTTACTGTTATGTATGCATCACCCATCATGCACAAAATGTCATTAAAAAATTTAATTCATTTTAACCACGGATCGATTTTGGTGTCAGAATATGTGAACTTACGATTCTCTCTTTTTATTTCGCTGTTATGTCATGAAAGGAATATATTTTATTATTACATAACTCATTAGATAATACAGACTATATTTATGTCTCTGTGTCAGTGATCATTCGAATTTTAAAGAACTTTTTGTGCATAGTTAACTAAAAACGAACCATCACCAAGCAAATCCTAAATGTAAGTTTTCTCCATTTTAAATTCGGCAAATTGGTTAAATGCACAACCACAAAATGAATTGTAACCAGACAATGAAGTAAACTGAAAAATATGATTATTCTTTAAATAATATAAGGTAATCAATCATGGGATAAAAATGTTAACAGACAACGCTATCTATCAATGTACACGCTGTTTTAATATGACATGATATAAAACATATAATTTATTTTTTAAGCTGACCCGTCGAAAATGTAAGGCAATCACACCACTTGTGTCTAAGTAGATATTTCATCCGATATCCAAAAAATATTTTTTGCACTTTTTTATGATTTAAAGACGTAATTAATGATTTAGCAAGGATACAAATGTGTAACAGTGTACTGTTTTATTATAATGCAATTCTTTTGTATCAATGGTTCTGATTGGATGACACTAAGCGTAAAATTGTATATGTCCTTGTCTGTAACTAAGGAAGCCGACATTTTGAATTGCGGAATGTATTGACATGCAACGTTTACAATAATAAGCAAAAAAACTCACATGTTGCACTTAGAAATCTTCTTTTTATCAAATTCAATTACATTCTGAAGCGGCCAAGAAGCCAGAAAATGCCCGGTGTTTACATTTGACGCCGGAAGCATACCTACGACGTCACCTAGTTTAGGGGCCAAAGAAGATAACATATTTTCGCGGAATTTTCTTTAATGAGAATTTTACACTGAAATAATGATTGAAATTGAATTATGTACTTGTTTTGCATTAGAATAGAGATAACTGTATTGTATTTGCAGCTTTGAGGACGTCCATCGGTAGTTTTACTGTCGCAAATACCCGTTGACCAGTCTCCGCTACGCGTCGCCAGGTAAACTAAATTTGCGACAGTAAAACTACCGATGGACGTCCGCAAAGCTTCAAATACAATACAGTTATCTCTTAATTGTCGACGGAAAAACAGCTCCATTGTAAGTATCCACAGGAAGCATATCCTTAAATATGAACATAATAACACATAGTGTTGGTAAATCTATATTAAGAACAGGAAATATTTTCGATCAATATGAATGTATCAAGATAAAAATGGACGAAATACACATACGGCGTCACACATGTAGACGTTGATACATTGAAAAAGAACAATCACCATTCAAATCCGGTAAGTAAGTTTTCCTATTAGCTTTTAGGCAAAATAAATAGTTTCAGTCACACAGAAAATTGTAGCAAAACTGTTTAACATACTGAAAAACAACAAGTAAGTTAAATAAATCATATGATTACAAAGGTTACGTGCGTTAGTTATATATGATTGAATATGGAAGTGTGATTTCATACATGTACATACAGGCCCGGGAAATTCTTATTTAAACCAAATGTTGAACATTAGGGGAATGTGTAGTTAAGACTGTCACATGTAATATCGAACTTTGTTTGGCTATTCGAAGTAAGAAATTGTATCAAGATATGAAACGTTTCTAGTGACAGGCAATATAGCTACTGATATATGTTCATAGCAATAATAAGATCAATCAAATCGTACACAACTTTTGATTGATTGGTTTTACAGAGAGATTATTTCATTATCTGTAATTATTTTATTCACAGGTATGTCTGAATTAGAAATAATATGCAATTTGGAATTTAGATTCATTAATAATTGTATTATGTATTATGTAACCTACTCTTTAAACGATACACGCTGAGAATAAAGACACATCTATCAATCTTAATGCTTGTTGGTAATGTAAAATGATGTCTTTAAATCATTTCCAGATGTTTAAAAATAAAATGTTTTAACTTTTTCTATTTTTACTAGATCATACATTTTAAAACATAAAGATTATGATAACAATTTGACCACTTCATCAAGTAGACATTTATACTTTGAAGGTTTTGTTTGTTTGTATAAAAAGAACATTATTATTGTAATCAAATAATTAATTCTATTCTTCATTATTAATTTTATAACCTTTTACTATAGTTTTCAATGTTTGAATATCGTTATTACTATTCAGTTTTTCCAAGAAGTAAACTTTACTCCAAAAATTATCAAGAAAGTAAACAAGTTTTCAACAATATTTTTCTCACTGAATAAAAAATATAAATCGAATCTCAACCAGAGAGCTCTTTAAATGCAATATAACATGTCTAGATAGAATAATTTCAAACTGTTTATTAACATAAAGGCTTCATATCTAAGTTTAGACAAACAGCATCACGTGTTATTCATTCGAGGGAAGATTTATTTCATATCACGAGCACTTACATTGTTCCAAGCAAAAACATTGTGTATTAATTGTGAAGGTGGGACGGAATGTTCCAATAATTTCTAAGCTAAAAGAATACATCTGTATTTCTACATGCATTAAATATATTGACCTTAATTACAATTCAGATTATGTTTAGGATAGGGAGGGAATTTCCATTTATTTTATCCATTCAAAAATATATCAGAGGCATGTTGGCCAAACTTAAGTACACAGTTTTGTTTAGGGGCCAGCTGTAGCCCGCCTCCGGGTGCCGGATTGTCTCGCTGTGTTGATGACCCATTAGTGGCCTTGTGCTGTTTTCTGTTCTGTGGTCGGGCTGTTGTCTCTTTGGCACATTCCTCATTTCAATTCTCAATTTTATTACATGGAAGTGACTTTTAAAAACAATTACCAGCATTTCTTTTTATTTTTGACCACAAATGGCTACGGCGTGAGGTCTCTTTTGATTCCATTACACCGATACAACATTCTATTAGCTAAACATGTGATACTATATATAGATAAAAATTGAAATTTCTTATTCTTAATTGCATCAACATGATCAAACGGGAGAATCTTTTTATACGATTTGGATGTGTAACTACAGTGTTTTCCTCAGTTTTAGTTTGTAACCCGGATTTGTTTTTTTCTCAATCGATTTATGAATTTCGAACAGCGGTATACGACTGTTGCCTTTATTTATGTCAGGAGCTTTATGACACAAAGGAAGCCAAAACAGATCAGCAAAATCCATCTTTAAAAGCATCGTTCTAAACATGATTTCATTGTGAATTGTATTAAAAAAATGTAATTCTTCTGTAGTGTTCTAATGCTTGAGTTGATGTCATCGCATCGAACGTTTTGTTGGGACCTTTTTTTTTCTGGTAATCTGCATACATTGTTTATGACAACTATCACCTGTTATATGTTCCATGTGTCGTAGCTACAAGTTGTCGAATTTTCGTTTGTTGAATCCATTCTTATTTACAAGTTTGGTTCTCATTTCTGTTTGGCTAAACAAATGAAAAATGACAACAACACTTTATAAATTGCTCTTTTATGGATTAACCTTCATCAAACCAAAAAGCCATTTGTTCTGATCCATCTATCCCATCAATTACACTAAATTATGTTTGAACTTACTGCTGATCAAGTCATTGACAATTAGCATTTGAAAAAATTAAAACGTCTTACTTAAGATGTTTAGCCTGTTATGTTGTTGTTGTTGATAAAACGGCATTACAAGAATACTTTTGTTCACTGGTTAAATCGCATGAATTTGAATTTATTTAGAATGCTTTTAATAATGACGGAATATATGATTTTTATGGACAAAAGAATAATTGAATGAGCATAAAATAGAAGTAAGTAAACTTGAAACTAAGTAACTGTGCTCATTTCTAGAAAACAAATTTAGCTATTTTTGGAATTGTTTGAATTGTTTACAGTATTTTGAATGAAAAGGATAGTTTACAGTATCTAATTACAATATACACTAATCATTTATATTTAACAAAATTACTTTTACAATGTAATTCATATTCTTCAGGCGTATTGAGGAGAAAATGTGCCAAACCATTCTCTTGATTGTAAACTCTGTCTTTGAAAGCAGAGTCTATAGTTGTCCTACCTCATGTTCATGCTGGAATTGGAAAAATGATTGCACAAATACAAATCTATCAACATTCCCGTCTAATATTCAACATTCAACAAGAACTTCGTGAGTATTTCAATCAAAATTTCACTTAACAAAAAGATAACAGACACAACATTCCTACCTCAGAATATTCGTATTAACCGTAAGCTTAACCAAAGCCAATGAAAACTAATAACAATTTAATGCATTAGATGGGTACTCAATCAAACAAAAAATGTCCGACTACACAAAATTCTAGTCTAGTTGTCAATGCAGTATTTACAACAAGGTCAAACCCCAATGTCAACTAATAAAAACACCATGATCTCTCTTACTAATTTAAAAGATCTATCAGTACATCTTCAACAATCTTAGTGTAAAGACGTCATAAGCAATTTGAGAACCATTTAATTTTATTTTCGGCTGTTTTCGAATGTCATTGTACTCTACTTCTTTTATTATTATGTATACATGGTATAAGAGGATTCAAATTTGTAGGTTGTTGTATTTATAAACAGTAGTATTGTTGGTAGTTAATGTATTATAGAGCATCTAATAACATTTCATTTTTATTATTTGTATTGACAGGAAACTTAAAAAAAAAAATACAATCACCTGAACTGAACTTTAAAGGATTTTTTAAAATATAATATGAATTTGAGAGTTTCCGGTGTAATGCGTGAAGACAAAGTGCTTGTTAACCATAACTGCAAATGCAAAGTTATTATAATACAACTTTTTTGTCTATCTACAAATTTTTGAGATAGCAATCAACACAATAATACATGCAGTCCCATAACAGTCATAACACAATATTCTATATCAGGAAAAGAAGATGTGGTATGTTTGGCAATGAAATAAACACCCATCATAGAACGAAGGATTGTGGTGTAAGTAACTATAGGTCAACATACATCTCAATTATCACCATACAGAACAATGACATATACAGGCCCGTTCTTGTCAAAAATTAGGACAATTCCAATGAGAAAACAAATTGTTTGATAAATTCTAAAGCAATAGCCGAAAAAAAATATAACTGAAAGCAACCAACAACAATCATTGCACTACTTACAAGTTTAACACCATTATCCCTTGCCATGTCTTAAAGAACATATCAGAAAGTAGTACATTATCTAAGATAAAACAGTTCATATGTACGGGGTTAACTTTCAAAATAAGTAAAATATTTTGGTAATTTTGTATAAAAAAACATTGACTGGTGATCATGTTAGAACACATTTTGACTTGCAATTTTGAAATAGAGGGTACATTTTGCCCGTTTTTCTGTTGATTTGACATGCAATGACTCACTTTTTTTTAAATTAATACAAAAAAGCTGTGACTACTTGAAATTGATGAATTTAACACAGATAGCAATGGGGAGATAAAATAGTTGTGGTCCTGCAGCAGGCTCATAGAGAATGTCTTACGAGAGACACCAGTCGTATAGAGGAAGGCGGTCTAAATATTTTTATGAGCACTTTTAAACCTTCCCTCTAACACAGTACAGTTGTGTTACAGAGCACCATATTTATACAGTGTAAAAATTAGTTGAATGAAATTGAACTCATTCTTTCGCTGCGAGACTAACAAATGCAACTACTAAATGACATAAAGTACCTATTCTAGAGTACTAATAGTTCACGATAGCTATTTCAAAGTCAATCACAACTAATACAGACACAATGTATTCGTCACACTAAAATATCAAATCAGTCCAATATGAAATACGGTGATGTGATATTAATTCTATTGAGACAACCAGACTGGAGATGTCATTAATGCAAGCAAACTTAGGTCATCATATGGCTTCAACAATTAACAAAATCAAAACCGTATGCACAGCTATGAACGTCTAAAAAAGTTCTTTGGAAGATACCAAGACATTGTTGATAAATATTCCGTATCAACTTCACAAATAACACATGATGGTCTTGAAATTTAGTTTCTGCGTGTTATAGTGTTCTTTTATTTGTCTTTGTAAATTATTAACCTTTACTGTTTAGTCCGTTTTTGGTATTATCCGTCTGGCGTGGCTCGGGACTTATGCATACCGCCATTGTGTTGGTGTGCTGTGGTCATTGTTTGTATGTTTGTCTTTCATTTTTGCTTATGTGCTCTGTCTATATGCCATTTTTGTTTTTCTTTGTTGACAAATTTGTTTTTTATAGTGATTTAGATTATAACACAATGTTGACTGCTGTACCCCTATTACATTAATCTTGTATTGCGAAATAGCATAAACAAATCGGCCTAAACCATTTAGTACGGAAATTTTTAAATAGGACAAAACTTAAGTCATGAAACATTTGTTTAGAAACTTTTTTAATGTTGCCGTATAAGTGGAAGTTATCAAGATAAGTTCTTTTCATAAAAGAATTCTACAGTCAATATACATATTTTGTTTAGAAATAGAATTCGATCACGATTTTATTTCATAAAATAATTTGTTAAATGCTTATTTCTCACATTTGATTTCAAAATGTTATCGTTAAGTTTTATTTTTATTCACAAAAATTGCAAATTTCCACCTCAAAAATATCATTGGCCAATGCTTTTCATTATTTAAAAAATAAAAATGATAACAACTTCACTCATACACTTAGTACTTATTGAGTAAATACTATCAAAATCAGATATTTTACTTTTCTTTCTTAAGTTTTTTTTTTTTTTTCAGCGTGTGAAGTGAAAATATTCAATAAGAGGTGATATTTACAAATGTAGCAAACCTTGAAAGAAAAATGTTAAACCCAACAAGCATATCTAGTGTCACATTAGTAACTCGATTTCAAAATTTGACACAATGTTATCATATTTTTTTCTGCTAAAGGATAAAATAAATAAAACATTGGACGTTTACTGCTATGAAAATGTAGGGCACAAACAAAGAAGATCTTTTAAGATAACATTTATTACGTTTTATACTGTTCTTTTTGTTTGACTTTGTATATTTTTAACCTTATTTGTTTAGAACATTTTTTTGGTAATATACTTTTGGAGTGGCTGGGTATTTATACATCCCACCATTGTAATATTATGCATGTCATAGTATGGTCATTTTTGTATACTTGTCTTTCAGTTTTGCTTATGTACTTCGCCTCTAGAGTGTCTATATGCCATTTTGTTTTTTCTTTGTTTTTATAGTAATTAAGATTACTACACAATGTTTACCGCTGTACCTCAATCTTTGATATTTTTACCAATTAAGTCTGCTTGTTTTGCTCACACATTTTTGTCAATATAATGGAAATCTATATGACTGTTATACAGGTAAGAGATTTAGCTATCTATAAAACCAGGTTTATTCCACCCTTTTCTACATAAGAAAATGCCTGTACCAAATCAGGAGTATGACAGTTGTTTTCTATTCGTTTGATGTTTTTGAGCTTTTGATTTTGCCATTTGATAAAGGACTTTTCGTTTTGAATTTTCCTCGAAGTTCGACATTTTTGTTATTTTTAATTTTGATTGGATACTGGATATTACAATTAATGAGATGAATCTTTTATCTTTCAAATGAACTAAGGAACGTAATATGCCGATTTCAATAAGACTTTTCAAACACCTTATTTTTATTATTTTGCAGTTTTACAGAAGTTACTATTGATACATCGTGTGGACTCGGCATTTTTCTCATCCTCAGTTGCAGTATTGCGTGCTTTTGTTTACACAAAAATGTGAAAAAAACAACATATCTTAACAAAATTTTTGGAATCAGCCAAAATATAGATGTAAAAACCGTGAGGCTCTCGTTGATGATGACGTTGAAAAAAGCCAAAATGATTCAACAAAAATTAAAATAGGTCTTGAATATGAAGCTGAGTTTGAGATGTCATATTTCATTTTTTCATCACCGGAAAAAGGGGGTCTTACTAAAAACGACAACCTAAGTAATTTGTCAGATCGGATTTATTACCAACCGATGGTTAATTGAATCCATACCAGCCATTCTTGTTTACACTGCAGCAATCGGAAAACATTCAGGAGGATTTTGATGAATTAGGTGATCCCCTGAAGAGAACAGGACCAATGTATATCTGAGACAATCTCTTCAAATAAAAAGACTGAACGATTTTAGACAACTTTCAAGATATACCAGTGCACAGTGTTCAGAAGTTGTGGATGAACAAATCTAAATAAATGCAAATTAAAATATGAATGAGAAAAGTAAATAATGTACGAAAACTGTGTAGCACACATTTCATAAGACACAGTTCAATAATAATTAAAAAGTGGCAAAAAGCGAAGAAGACTAACGATGAAATTAAGAAAAGGCAAAGATAGAAAATAGCGTTTTCTAAATTATCCGTTGATGAATTTTAAATTATTCAGAAACTAATGATTAAGGTTCCCTCTCCCTGAGGAAAGCTTTACCATGCAGAAATATTATTGGAATCTATCGGTATGAGGACCTACTGATCGTGCTTGAAGGATAAATTCACTTTAAATGAAATGCTTGTGCTGTATACGCATGCACATTTTATTGGTGGTGTTAAATTAAAAACCATGTCAATTACCGGTAAGATAAAACGACGGTTATTCGTCTATTTTCGCATAAGAATAAAGTGAAGTAGTCTTTTCAACCCAGACACAGTACGTGGTCAGTTTCCTTTCACTAACGTTGTAAAAAAGAAGCAGAAAACACAAAGGGATCATTCAGAATCCATAAATAGAAGACAAATTGACAACGACATACATGTAGCAATTATAGAAAAAAAATTAAAAAAGAACGATATCCACAAACCACAACATTAAAACTAAAGACTGAGCATCCAACCCCACAAAAATCCCTGGAGCGGAGGGAGACCCAGGTGCTCTGGAAGAGTTGGCCATCTCTGTGGAAATCAAATACAGTTCGTTTTCCGTAATCATGAAATGCACGGTGTATATGTTTTGCAAAGTGTAACTAATTCTTTGCACGCACAGTCAACACTTCTTTATTTAAAATGATAATTCATATTGGTGCATGTTCATTTAGGGGACACTGTGTTTAAATTTATAATGTATTTGATTTGTATAAAAATAAATATCACATAATAAACTGTATTCGCCTTTAAACAACAGAGAGAAGAGATACCAAGGAGTATTCGAGATTTAAAACTTTTACTTATATTAATGTGCAATATTTACATAATTAAGATGAACTTTGTTTGTTACCTGTTTCCGAATTTAGCTAGTAGGAAGTCAACACTAACTTCTATCATTTATTTGCAATTCCACATTTAATAGCAATGTCATACCACCGTCAATGTTATAATTAAATTGAGAAATTGTGTAAACAAACAGATAGAAGAGGAGGCGAGATATACTGACAATTCCATGGCAAAAAAAACGGCAGTATACAAAACATAACATAGAAAACGAAAGACTGAGCAAAACGAACGCACAAAAAACTGGGGTGAACTATGGTGTTCAAGAAGGATAAGCAGATCCTGCTCTACATGTTGCAATGTCGCTTTGCGCATCGTAAATATATACCCTGGGATATGTCTAAATGGGTAAGTCACATCGCGGAAAAAGAGTTTGGGATTGTGGTTTAGATAATTGAAACTTATCCGTCTTAATCTGTTAAATATAGATTTTCCATTTAGGTCAACCAACCCGTGATAGCCCAATAACAATTTTGAATGAATGACTCGAATTTCACCATTTGGAACTCTTTGTTAAGTATATTTTTTGTCAGCAGCAATCCTTTATCAAGGACATCATTATAAGAAATGCAAGGTCTAGAATATCGTATTTCTTTCTTCATGGTATTTTTCAAAGCAGCAATTTACATCCTAAAACTTCAACTGCAAGTTAATCAAGGAATTGATTAAAAAAACAGAACAAACATCAAACTTAAAATGAAAACTGCATTATAAAGAAACTTGTGTATTGGTCCCCTATCTACCCTTATAATGTATGTTAACCCTGAAATCTAACAACATTCTATGTTCAAACCATTATCATTGACAAAGGAAACAGGGCAAAAATGAGAACAAAAAACACTATTCTAATCAACACAAATAATTGTTTAGCCACGTTATTATTGTTCTTGGCCGACTACTTGATATAATTATGTGTACAACTAAGCTTTGTAAAGTTTTGAAAATGCATTGGAACTAGATATCTTACCATTTGTTAGTTATACTATTAGTGGTTTGTTCTCTGCTATCAATATGAAAACATAGGTAAAATCTGGTATGATTGCAAATGAGACAAATGTTCTCCAGGGACTAAATGATATAAAATGTAACAACTATAGGTCAACATACGGCCTATAATAATGAGCAAACCCCATACCGCATAATCATCTATAAAAGGCCCCGACATGACTAATGTAAAACAATGCAAACGAGAAAACTAACGGCTTGATTTATATACAAAACAATGAACGAAAAACAAATATGATATACAGCAACAATCGACAAACACTGAATTTCGGGCTCTTAACTTGGGACTGGCACATTCATAATGTCAGTCGTGTTTGTCTCATTGTGAATTGCCATGAAAAGTGGATTATATTTTGTCTTCTTTTCACTATATAATTCATATAACTACAAGTGTTGGTAGATATGAATATGTTTTAATGATCAATTGATTTCAATTTACCAGTCCATCTTCATTCAAACCAAGTTTAAATATGACGCATTTCTCGCCAAAACGTGCATGTAAATTAAAAATTTATTAATACACTAATGTTACAAATCTGAATAAGAATTTGATATCAGTAGCAGCAGTACTAGTTGGTACAGGCATGAAATCAATATTTGCTTGTTCATAGATAGATATAGGAAGATGTGGTATGAGTGCCAATGAGACAACTCTCCATCCAAGTTACAATTTATAAAAGTAAACCATTATAGGTCAAGGTACGGCCTTCAACACGGAGCATTGGCTCACACCGAATAGCAAGCTATAAATTGCCCCAAAAAATTATTACTAGTGTAAAACCATTCAAACGGAAAAACCAACGGTCTAAGTTCAGTCTGAATTAGAATCACGAAGAGTCGTAATTAGTATTAATGGAGTAACCGGACAACCGATACAACTTTGAACTAGCTGTCAGTAACTGCGAGTTCTCTCAGATCTGTACTTAGTGTCCGTTTTGTTGTTTAGTAATGAGGGATGGATAGATACCCTGCAATGTCCTGTCTGTGTTTATGTTTAAAGTGTTCTGCTTTGTATCGATCTGATGAGTTAAGCCTTTTTCAACTGATTTTTATAGTTTGTTCTTATGTTGTGCTGTAACACCACTGTCCCAGGTTAGGTGGAGGGTTGAACGCTCACAAACATGTTTAACTACCCTTCATTGTGTATGTGCCTGTCCCAAGTCAGGAGCCTGTAGATAAGTGGTTGTCGTTGGTTCATGTCTGTCATATTTGTTTTTCGTAAATTGTTTTGTTATAAATTAGGCCGTTGGTTTCTCAATTGAATTGTTTCATATTTTTCATGTCGGGTCCTTTTATAGCCGACTATACGGTTTGGTTCTTTCTGATTGTTGAGGCCGTACGGTTGCCAATAATTGCTTACATCCACTTTATTTGAACTTTGACGGATAGTTGTCTCATTGGCAATCATACCTCATCTCCTTATTATTATATTGAACAGAAGGTAAACTAAATATTAGTATTGGTCATATCAATTTGAAAAAAAACCTCAACAAAGAGTTATGTACCAGGGTTATAATCAAGATGAATTAGGCAAAAGTGCATGGTCCAAATGGTTTATCCCGTTAACAACAAGAAATGTATATACTGCATGTGCTAGAGTGTTTCATTACCACGTCAAATGCATTGTATGTATTTATTTTCTTAGTATTTAATTTCAAAGCAACATTCCGAAACGTGGAGCATCAAACAAATATCTTGAGTAGAACTGCATAAAAACCGTATACAAATGGGTTTGCAGACGTATTAAAACCTTATAGTCATATTTCAAAAACCAGTTCAGTGTTGTTTCATGATGAAGAAACTGTCACAGTAAATACAAACGTATCATTTACGAGCCTTATTAAGATCACCGTTTGTTGATCACTCCTTATATAAGTCTGTTTTAAAGTACATGCAACTCCCTGTGTTAGTTTTTGAATTGATGAAATATTGACAGAACATCTGTATAAGCATTTATATAAATGACTAAACAATGTAGAGGAAACATTCCGATGTAAACAAACTGTAGTTCAGTAATAACAAATATGAGAGTAAATGTAGACGGAATCGGATAAACAAGATAAACTTTAAACAGAGTGGAACTGGGTAAGTTATCGGTCAACGAACTCTTGTTCTGCATGTATCACCCATTACATAATAAAAAAATAAATGCTAGCATTAAAGGGGTAAGTAAGAAGCATGACAAAGGCTGGTAACTGTGCCATCCGGCACATTGTACACATGCTGTATATGACACACTTAAATCTCACAAGTGAGTTGTAAGCTTGACACGTTCTATGGAAACAAATATAGATAATGGCAACCAATACATTTTATAGGGATTTTGGTCATTTTTTCACATATATTGTCTGTATAAAGCTCATTCAAATTAAATTTAAATCTATCAAAACGTCTTCTGAAAATGATGATGCATTCAAATGACTGATTTGAGTCCAAAAAAATAATATTGTGGGCACATGTATCAACACTTGACATACCTATATCAACTGTTTTTCTTTTTTCTCAAAAATCTATTTCTCAATTTGCGCGAGAAAGACTTCACAAAGTAACGTCTACAGCAAAATGCAAATGTTGAAACATTGACCCTTATACTTCGCGTTCTGTTATATTTCTGGTGTCCTTACTCTGGATAATAACATATAAATTGACCGATTATTTTCACATTTAATTTTAAATAACGATTACTATATGTATAATTACGTCTGATGTATGCCTTGCCTTTCACTTAGTTCAGGAAAAATTAAAAAAAATAGAGAGCAAATTATTAGGACATAAATGATTACATTGATAGCTTTATAATGTTATGTATTAGCCTTAATGTGTCCGTATGTATAGGCCTTGATAACGTTATACATTACCCGTTGATATGTCCGTATGTATACGTCTTGATAACGTTATGCATTTACAGTTAAGCGCAAGGTTAATTGAGCGTTAGAGAATGTGAACACTCATGATGAGCAAAACAACGCTTATGGCATTAAAGATCCATATCAAAGCATTAAGGCTTGATGTCATTTTTCTTTTAATGGGAAGTCAATGTTTTTGAACGAAATATTCATGTCAAGCGATACCCTGGAATTTCACACTGACGCTGCACAATCTAAAGACTATGCAGGCATATACAGCTTAAAATGGTTTTATGGTCCATTCTCAGAAACTGGAAAAATATCAATATAATGATAGTTTTATCCTATCATCTTAGCAATTGAGTTATGGGGGCCATTGTGGAGAAAACACTCGATACTATTATTCACTGACAATGAAGCACTGGTTTCTGTGACTAATAAGCAATCAACTTCTGAAAGGCAAGCAATGAAAAGTGTTAGATACATGGTTTAAGGTGTTTGCCATTTTAACATACTATTTAAAGCAAAGCAGATACCGTACCAGGAAAGAAGAATATTTTTGCAGATTACCTTTCTCGTCTACAGGAAGAACTGTTTTTGAAAATAGCGCCAGCTGCCCAATCCAAACCGTGCTTAGTTCCAGAACAATTCCAGCCACAGAACTTTTTGAGTATTTTAAAATCTTAGCAAACGCAGCTCGAGCTCCATCAATTCAAGCTACCTACAGCTGTGCATGGAAAACTGTGCAGAAATGATTAACCACAGACTTCAGCCACCACTTTCTGTAGCTAGAATTTCATTGTTCATTGCCTACTTGTTCGAAAAATCTTATGCACCAAGTGCAATTTCAACATATCTCTCAGCCACCACTTTCTGTAGCTAGAATTTCATTGTTCATTGCCTACTTGTTCGAAAAACCCTATGCACTAAGTGCAATTTCAACATATCTCTCAGCCACAGCTTATGTTCACAAAATGATGTCAATGCCAGACAACTCT